AAACTCAGACCTGATCCAGAAACTTCTTCTTGTATTTATCTATAGAACTGTATATAAATCTGTAATAGAAAGTTGACGATTAAATCTTCAGTGATACTTAAGTGCTCCTTCTTCCTTAAAAGACACCATTGCCCATCTATGGCCATCAGAAACCCATCTTCCAAGTCTCCAGGGTAAAAAAATTATCTTTAATTGTCTTAGAAATGATAGTAGACTTTTCTCTTTCAAACATAGTCTTTGGTTGGCACAATTCCCTTTTTCCTAAAAATGGATAAAATATACTAAGACTCCTTCACAAAGAGGCATCTCAAGGCAGTCTTACCTTGTTGGGTAAGATATTCCTATATATTAGAGTTCTCTTGAAAGCCTCATAGTACCTGAATGCTCGATCATAATCTACCTTAATTACATTGTATGTTTAAATACACTAGCTAAGATATATTTAAAATATCCCAAGCAAAGGGTCAAGAGAACCCAGGACATTTTGAGTGTAAGGATTACGAGACAGCATGAACCAACCAGACTTTTCCCATCATGAGATCCCAGTGTGTGATACTGTTGCTGACCCTGTGTGGTAAGCCACATCACACTGAAATAATTTATCTAAATTAGTTATTATGATTCATAATGTTCACTCAGTGTTTTCTTTGCATTCATCCATTATGTATTTTGCCTTTTGAGCCTTTATTTACCTTATAGTTGTATCTTGGATGTTTGTTTCTTTATAACTCCTGGATGTTTCCCCATCAATAGCAGCATTTGTCTCTCTAATCATCTTCACTTTACAAACAAATGAATAGATGTAAAATGTGTCAGTAGTGAGTCAGGCCTAAAAACGATGTTTTATATATCCAAATAATTTGTTTTACACTCTATCATGTTTCTTCAACACCTCTTCACATAATAGTCTGTTTCCTATGCTGTTTCTTTTGATGATCAGTTTGTTTCATATATGCTCATATAAGAATTAGCCTCTCAATGATTGGGGGAATTACTAAATATTGGAGTTAGTTTGTAGAGAAAAGCACACTCTCAAATAAGATACTCAGGGACAGAATGTAAAAATCTTCATTCTTGAAGTCAGGTCAATGTGCCAGCCCTTCACACTAATTATATGCCTTTCCTCTTCTGCCAGACAAAATTATGTACAAGTATAATTATTTTAAATGAAGTTGGGATATATTGGCTCCTTATATCAGTTTCACTACCTGTCACTCATTAAAAAGTCCTCAAGTTAATTCCTCTTACTCTCTCTGTAAAATGTATATTATGCCAACAACATCTACTTTATTGTCTTACCTACTTATGTATAATTACAGAACACATAACATAGTGCTCTATAGGTTAAATGCTACATAATTTTTAGTTACTATTTCTGTTGTAAATACCCGGAATATAGTTATATATATTTTTTGTTTGGTTTTTACGAGACAGGGTTTCTCTGTATTGTTTCAGAGGATATCGGTCCAGCCCGGCCTCGAACTCACAGAGATCTGCCTGCCTCTGCCTCCCGAGTGCTGGGATTAAAGGCATGCACCACCACCGCCCGGCCCTAGTTATATATATTTTTGTTATATAAAAGGGTTTTATTTTAGTTAATAATTAAGAATTGCAATGTTGTCAAAATGTTTCAGTGGGTGCTTGCCATGCAATCCTCCTGAACTGAGTTTGATTGCCTAGACCCACAGCAGAAGGAGACAAAGAATTCCCACAACAGTCCTCTGACCTCCAAATACACGCCATAGTATGTGTTCACCCACCCCACCCCTTACACACAGTAATAATAACTTTAATAGAAATGAACTATCACCTGTAAAGTGCATATTAGGGGGCTCATTATATATATATATATATATATATATATATTTGTAGGAATCCTTGTCCATATGAGTTAAATTTCATAAGCACTGCTTGTACAGGAGTGTCAATAGACCCTGGCATCCTCCCCATCCATTACAATCCTGCCAACCAGGGAGATTTTGTAGCCCCAGAGCATAACTTGGGAATGTCTGACACCATTTTCTACAGTCAACCCTGGGAAAAAACACAACTGGCCTCTATAAGGTCAAGACCAGGCATGTTACCTATACATCCCAGAATGGGTAAAGATCACCCATCCTTTCTCTGTTGAGAAACATTACATTGTCAGAAAAGGGAAACATCCGGTTAGAAAACTCCTACAAATAATAAAGATGTATTTGAATGATGCCTATCAATACCAGGAAAGGGTTATGATTAGTTTTTCTTGAGAATATACTGATCTTGTGATATGGAAGATTATTTGGGCATAATTACATGTTTAAATATAATGGTGGCCTTGAAAGCTCTACTATGAGACCCTCTGGATTACAATGGACTTGTTGATTATGAAATGATGGATATAAAAATTAACTAGCATATTTCAAGTGACTAATGTCAACTCTTGCCATATTGCTTACTTGAGCTACTTGTTGAAGGTTAAAAATTGAAATTATTTTTTCTTTAAATGATGACTACTACTGATATCTATATCTATATTAGGAATTTTTGTGTAAATGGCACAAATTAATAATAGCACAGCTTAAGGCTTTTAAGCAGACATAATGAAGTGGCACTCATCAATTGTCATATTTCATTTCCTGCATACAGAAATGCTCCCTTTTCACAATCACTAAAATTTACATATATATATATATATATATATATATATATATATATATATATGAAAGTGACTAACATTAATGGCATTTCCCTTAAGTTGAGTAGTTATTTGTCATTCTTGTTGCTCCTTTGGACTCTCTGAACATTTTCCTTTAGCAGTCTCTAATCTACTCACCACAACGCCATTTCACGCTTTGCATTTCTAATAAAGTTGGGAAGTTGTGTGCATGTGTCTGCCTGCATGTGTGTGTATGTTTAGGTTTCCACTTAAAGTTCAGTGCCAAAGCTACAGTACTGATACATTTTCTAAATGTGTTTTAAGCAATAAGTTGTACAACATTTTTAGAACATGTGTTAAACTATTTCTCTAAGAATGAAGCTCTTAACAAAACATAAGCACTCTGCATGAGATCTTCGCAGCAAAGTGCTTAAAAGATAAAGTAAGAATTGGTACCATGGGAAGAACACCAGCTGTAGAGCGCACAGGTCCATTATGAGAAGTATGGTGGTGAGTAGGGAGAAAATGATTTAATCAGGAGTAAAACCAATTTTATTATAAGGGCACGCGGGGGGTGTGGCACCATAGTGAGAGGGACATTTCAAAATATCTGACAGATTTCAACAATGCGAAAACCCCGTTCTTTAAAGTGACAGTAAACCCATCAGGTCTCCCTTTTTGATGCTATTGTGTTAACAGTTGACTGTTTAAAGCTGGCCTGCTAAGATGCTGTCGGCCTATTTCAATAGTGTGCAGCCAAATAAAAGACTAATTGTTGAAATACAATCAATCAAAATGATTGCAGGCCAGAGAGAAGGTCTTCTCTGCTGGTTTTGTTGTGGGTCATACTAGTGTGTTATGATGGAAGCAGGGACTATGATTGAAAGGAAGTGGGAGAGAGCCCCTCTGACAGGAACAGATCCACCTCGTCCTTCGTTTTCGCAAAATACTACTGAGCAGGAATGGCACTTACAAGCCCTGACAATAACAGTCCATTAGTAAAAAGATCTGTTAGGGATGTGGGCTAATATTTCTAAAAGGATATGAACACTGTTAGCAAAAACAGCTCCTGCAGAGAATCCCAACAGTGACAGTTCTCGGCTTTTCTTACATTTTTCTTTTTTTTTTCTTTTTCTTTCTTTTTTTCTTTCTTTTTTTTATGCAAAATGCTCATTGACATTCATAGAGCTCACACTGTGGGGGCATATGACTGTGAGTTCAGACATCATCAAAATAGAGAAAAAATTCCAGTTAACCAAATACCTGTAAGTTCTTACCAGGATTCTTGGCTTTTCAGTTAACTCCATATTGTTACTGAGAAGCTTTTGTTTCTTTAAGACCAGAATCAAAACATCGTTTCTATGTAGCTTATACTACAGATCAGCAGTAATGTCATAATATCTTGTTTCCTCTTGTGTATATGTAAAGATATCACTTCTAGACAACAAGCATCTCTTACTTTTGTGAGAATGATCCCAAATTTTCCTATCGAGCATTAAAGGGGTGTGATAATCACCTAGCACATTCCCTAGCTCCTGAACCTTCACTTCGGCACCTAAGTTCTTCAGTGCATCACTTGTGGCAACTCTCTCAGGCTTCCCAAGCAAATATGTTTTATGTTTCTAAAGAGTTGGTTAGCATTTGTGGTGTGTCGTCGGTGTGTTATCATTTTGGCAGCTTTGCATAGCCCGCATAGGCCAACAGGGGTCTGTCTAATATTGTTGCTGGGTACATTTTCCTCACTGAGATGAAAACTGAAGAAAAATACTTCTGAAGCAATAAGAAGGAATTAATATCTTTTCTCCCTCATATTCTATTCCTTGCTGACTTTAGATTTAGGCAAGGAAAAAACAGAAAAAAAAAGTGTTAGCCATTATTCCCTTGTACATAGCAAGGCTAACACATGTAAAGCAATAACTCGTTTTCTATTGCTGTGTTTAGCATATGTCTCCTGTTGGCTCAGCAAGGCCTTCAGGCCGGTCCCTTGAGCCAGCCATCGCTGGCATCTCTTAGCCCCTCGGCCTCAAAACCAAATAGCTTTGAATCATGTTGAGCTGTGATGCTAATTTTCATACTGATGCATTATGGGAATAACTGTATCTGACATACTGTGTCAATGGTACTGTCTCTTTGTGTCCCTTGTTTTTTGTTAGCTGCATTCCTACAGATGGCATTCCATTGAAAATGTTCCCTTCCTACAGAAAACGAGAAGAAAAAAAAATCCATGCACAGCACCAAACCTCTAGGTGCAGAAGGCTGTTAACGGTTGCTGATGATAGTAGGCAAACATTAACATAATAATTAGTGTCTTGTAATTGTTTCATTAAAACCAGTTGTTCCATTTCTCCTCGTGTTTTCCCAGAAGAGAAGCTGAATTTGGATGACAGCCAGTGGGAGGACATCCACGTGGTCACCGGAGCACTGAAGATGTTTTTCCGGGAGCTGTCTGAACCGCTCTTCCCTTACAGTTTCTTTGAGCGGTTTGTGGAGGCAATCAGTAAGTATGCCCCAGAAAGGAGCCGGGTGTGGTAGCATTAATAACAATAATGAGATCGATACTGATCATGAGGACAGAAAGCAGAATATATGCCCTGTGCTCATATCTGTATCCTTTGATTTTGTCATTTGGGTGGCTTGTTTTATTTTTCAGCCTGCAATATTATCTGAGCTTTAAAACCAAAATTATTCAGACCAAAAAAAAAAGATGGAAATCTATTTACGGCCACCAAATTTAAGCTTTCTCAAATGAAAATAGCTTCTTCTGCAATCTGCTTTAAAGGGGTCATCTCTTGTACTCCCAGTCCCTGCCTTTATATTTTCAGAATTGCGCTGTTTGCAGACAAAGAGGTCTTGCAAGGGACCCTAAATATATTAAATATTGTGTTCCATTAAATATGTGTTAAATCATCAGCTGAAATACCATCTTCTCTTGGCTCACTCATTTGTTCCCTCACCAGCAGCAGCAACTATCTACAGTTGGCTTCTGAGCAGAGTATGAGGTTAAGTGACAGCAATTTTCTTTTAATGGGTGCCACTACAGGGTGATGAGTTACATCACTCCATGAAGCTTCTTTTTCTGATGTATTGTTCTCTCATTTATAATACACAATATGAAGTAAAATGACAGGAATGAATGAATGAATGAAATCTTTTCCTGCAAGAAAACTTTGCTGTAGATAGTTGGAAAAACAAATACTTGAATATCACTAAATTTAATATCATAGGGTACATTTACTATAATAGTGACAGCTTGGAAAACAACTCCTGGCAAGCAGGCTGATATAAGAAGGAAGGAGAAAGAAAGAAGAAAGAAAGGTAAAATTAAGAGGCTTGCAAGCCTGGCAGGAGCTTAATTAAAGTCCCAACAAGAAAACTCTCCAAGGAGAAAGATGCTCTGCTTAGGAGGTCTGATCTTGGATGCTGTGTGTAAAGGGTTCCCAGTAGTGGGAGGGAGGAGTTGGGGGCCAGTGCTGGAAAACAACCCTTCAATAGGCACTTTTATTCTGTTTGTCACTGGGAAACCTCTTCACACTCTCTTAAAACTTCGCAAAATAAAATAGATGGAATGAAGAAGAGGGTTTCTCTCCATTCTCTCATCTAGCTCGCTCACAATCTCTGATTGTCTTGTTGGCTGGCTATTATTTAAAGGAGTAAGATTACTCTTGTTTTAAGTTTGGGGCAAGCCTGGAGTTTTTATCCCTTCTGCGGAGCAATGATTTATAGTCCCCAGATTCTCTAAACTACAACTTAAAAGGAATAATTAAGAAAAAGTAAGAAAGCATGAATCTCAATCAGTACAGTCTGATGTTCTGTCTTAGCTCACACATGTCAATGCACTGAAAGAACAGCATTCTGGGAGGAAATTGGAAAGACTTTTATATAGATTCCTATCTTAATTGTGTATATTTAGTGACACATGTGTCATATTTTGAGCTCTATACTCTTAGGTGGCAATTATCTCATTTGAAGACATACTTACATATCTGCTGAGCAGGGAGTATTGTATAAGATTCCCATAAATTAAGCTCCTTGCTTCCTTTAGTTCACATGATTCTGAACATATTAGCAAGCTCTTTCCATAGGCTAAGTGTATGGAAAGCAGGCCCTCAGAGCTCAGAAGTGTCCTTTGAATCCCCTTAAGAAATATGATGATTTCTGGAATATTTTAGGCATAAGTACAAATTGGATATATTTTCAGAAATACAGGCATGATCAGAACTGAACAGCAGTGATAAGGTAAGCAGAGAGTTCTTAGGGGTGGCTGTAAAAGAGTCTCGGCAAACAGTTATAAAATGAGTACTAGTCCAAATGAAGAAGGGTATGTTTAATAAAGTCCTTTTTAAAATCCAAGATGTTGTACACATGCTGAGACTTGCTCTCCAGGTGATCTGTGTTCAGACATGAAGAACAGAATATGTCCCATTAAAGACACATGTTGCAAGCCCAGGGTAATGGTGCTGAGAGGTGGGGCCTTTAGGTGATTGTCATGAAGCAGAGCACTCCTGACAAGGTTAACACCCTTGCAAAGGAGGACCTAGGGACAGTGACCTAGCTCAGTGGTTAGAATTGCTTGGTACCAAGCCTACAGACTTGCATTTGATCCCTGGACCCCATAAAGTAGATGGAGAGAACCAACTCCAACAATGTCATTTGACTTGCACACACACCATGGCACATTCATGCTGACACACATACACACACAAAATAAACAAATACATGTAAAAACTATCGTACACTTTTTAAAGGAAGAAAAACAAAAAACAAGACCAAGAGAGATGCCTTATCTCTTCTAATCATGTGAATACACAGCTAAACATCACTGTCAACTGAAGCAAAAAATGGGTCCTCAGTACTTGGCGCTACTGTCTCGGTCTTGGATTTCTTAGCTACTACAATTCTGCTGTATACATTTATATGATATACAAGGTATAAAGTTCATGGTACTTTTATAGAAAGACAATTAGACTAAGACTCTTAGCAATCTTGCTTTAACTAATCAAGAATGCCAAACTATCAGTGTGTGATGTACAACTCGTGGAGACTGAGCCATAGGATGAAATGGTTGAGAGCATGTTGGGACACTTGACAGACCAAGACATATCACCTGTGGTGGTTTGCAGGAAAATGGCCCCCAAAGGGAAAGACGCTATTAAGAAGTGTGGCCTTGTTGGAGTAGGTATGGTCTTTTTGGAGGAAGTGTGTCACTGTGGAGATAGGTTTTGAGGACTCATGAATGCTCAAGATACCACCGAGTGTCTCAGACCATCTCCTGTTGCTTTTGAGTCAAGATGTAAGGATTCTCAGCACTTGCTCCAATACCATGTCTGCCTGCACATCTCTCTGACACATCATAATGACAATAGACTAAACATCTAAAAAAAGATACCCAAATTAACTGGTTTTCCTTCATGAGAGGTGCCATGGTTGTGGTGTCTCTCAACAGCAATAGAAACCCAATTACAATTATATAAACTTTACTTTTATTTTTTTCTGTGCTGGGTATAGAATACAGGGCGTTGAGCATACTGGGCAACTGCTCTGCTATTGAGCAATACTCCCAGTCCTGTGTTATAAACTTGGGGTAAGCTCTAGATTGTAATGCTGTTTTTAAGTATCACTTAGGGATGAGGACGTGGTCACTTTGATATTCAGTATTGGGAGAAGTCACACCAGAGAGGGTGCATTTACTTCACTTAACATAATTAAGCTTAAAAGAAAACTTCCATAATTATGTGGACATTTGTATGCAGACATGGAAGAGTCTTGGATTTCATCAAAGCTCACATTGCAACGCCTTGTGAAGCCATGATGATAGTTCCTATTACAAGTCCACCAAATCCATGCAGAGTTAACTCTTTTCAAAAAGAGGTAAAGCACTTCAGGAAGCACACAAGAGTGTGCTGGGGGGGGCTGTGCATGGGCCCCCATTGCCCACAGATCCTTGCCCCGCTGTTCTCTGTGCTCTGCACCCTCATAGAGTTGGCCCTAGACAGAGATATTTCACAGGTGCTCTTGGCAACCCCTGGCAGGAGACAGCAGGTAAAGGAGTGTGATAGTTACGACTCTCACTTCTGTAACCAAATGTCTGGCAGAAGGCATAGATGATGAATGGTAAAAGGTACAGTGTGTCATGGTGGGGCAGACTTTGCAGAGCTTATGGTGTTGTGAGGACACAGTTGAGGCTGGCTACCTGGTACAAACCAGAAAGCAGAGAGACCTTGAGCTGAAATCAAAACAGGCCTACTCCCAGCTTCCTGCCTCCTCCAGCTAGATACTACTTCCTGAAAGTCCATAACCTGCCTGAAGTTGGGGACCATGGGTTCAGTCACACCACCTTGTGAAGGACATTTTACATCCAAACCATAACAAGAAGGGAGGCCAAGTCCAGCCCCCTAAGAGTTTATCCTTACCCTTTGCTATTAGCTACCTCAATGCCCCAGTGACTTTTCTGCATGCAACTTCGGTGGACAGGACCACTCTAATCCCAGCTTCCTTCCACCTTGTGGTTCAGACCCTCCTGTCTTTGCCCTTCCAATTTGAAGGAGCTAGTGGCTTCCTGGAAGGACTAATTTCTGATTTTCCTTTCTCTTACTTTAGTTCGTTCTTCTTTTGGATACGCAGTTCTTTGCATTAAATTAATTTTGTGCTAGCGGAAATGCTTACCATGGTTTCTACTGTTTGGTTAGGCATGGACAAAACACCATTCCCATTAGTGCCACAGTTCATGTTGTCATAACAGTATTTCCATTTTCTTTTTACTACTACTAAATCCAGTTTATGAAGACTTAACATTTTTATTTGGCCCCTAGCTGAGAGATGTGTTTTCGTGGAAAAGTCCCAAAGCGAATAGACCAAATGGAATTTTACATCTGACTGGAATGCTTTGCATGGAAGGAAGAATGTTATTTCTAGTGGAAACAATTGACCTTGCTGCTTGCACTATTTCAATTATTTTATTTCACATTATATGTTTGCAATTCATCATAGCATATTCCAAGAAGAGTAAACAGAAAATGCTTTTTTTAATATAAGAGTTTCATTTGGACCAATTTAAATAGTTTCTTTCCACAAGAACCTGCAAATGCTATGGTGATTCCCTCTCTGATTCACTGGGGCAGCAAAAGTCCTGAATTTGGTTTTATATTTCAGAATCTAAATTTCTCAACTATTGATGTTAAATTCTGTACCCGAAGTCAGCATAAGTAAATTAGCAGTTTTTTTGTTTTCTCCCAAAGATTTAACCCATTATCAGCAGAGGCTTGATTTCCTGGAGAAGCTTGTACAACTGAAGGCATTATTAGTCCTGTAAATGTGAACTTGTTAGACAAAGTGCTATCCAGTTTGAGGGTAGGTGGTGCAATCTTGTGCTAGACACTGCAGGGCATTCTGGATCTTTCCAGTAGACTGAAATCCCGAGAAATACACTGTTGATGATTACTCCCATTTTTTTTAATTCTGACAAGTACAGATCCAAAGGAAAAAGGACAGCATGTAGTC